CTTACTCTATTCCTTACATCTAAGTACTAAAATCTTATACAAAGTTTTTTATGTAGCAGCGTAGAGTGAAAATTCGTATATACATTTTTCGCGGCATTTCTAATTTAAGTATCGTCTCCACCGAAATATTATAAGAGGACATTTTTCATTAACACGCTACTATTAAAGAAAATGGAAACTCTATAAAGCTATTAAAAAAGACTTGAAAAGCAAAATGCATGGTTCGTCAAGAAACTGCTTCGCTTCTCAAACATGGCGGGAGACAACCTGGAGGATTCTGCTAAATATTGTGATGACAAAGCGATTTATGACCTTATATCATCTGTAATTAGTGAAATTTGGCGCTGATGTCTGTTTAAATGCATATTACGAGCGTATTCTAACGAACTAAAGTTTGAATATTTTTAAGGCGAATCGCAAAGAGTTATTTATTCGTAATTCTTCTAATAATGAAGAATCATACTGTAATGTTGTGCGTTACGTGTTAAGTTCTCTTATGAACGAAACGTCAGAATTTAAGTAGTTTCTGCAGAGCCATATTAACTCGTGGCTTTCAGTTATTTCGGGATCCCTCCGGCACTTTGTCTTTCATCTCACTACAGCCGACATCCTGACCCTGTCACATTAGGTACTAGATCTCAGTACATAACCATATTTTTGGATAACTTGTAAAAGAGTATTTAAAGAGTTGTCGCCTTTTTATAGCATCAACATCGGACTTGATGACCAATTAGTGATTGAAAGCGATTTCAAGTTCGTCCGGGAAACGAAAGGCGCTTTCACCAACGAAATAACGACGTGGCGCGTCCAAAGACACAATGTAAATTATGACGTCGGCAAATCAGTCCAGCCACTTAGCTGCTGCAAAGACACTTTTCNAAAAAAAATAGTTAAATTCCAAAATTTCCTTCCCTTGCTTACAGTAGTGAAGCAGTCGCTAGGCCTCGGCTCGACTACGGATGACGTATATCCGGAATCTGGCAGGAAGTGGCTAAATCGGCTGTATGAGGCAACCTTATAAATCTAAGACCTTGATCCGGGACCGGTTCCGGGCCGTTAGCCGCCCGCCCTCTAGATATTTGGCCGCCCTCGCCCGATTACGTGAATCGCAAGTAGATTTATAACTTAACTCAACTGATAAGAATTTACCTGTATGTTTTTATGATAGGAGTTTTAAAAAATCCGTTAAAATATTTGATATATTTATTCCGCTCTCCGATTTTATATTACTCACGGATTTCAATGTTAAACCAGTGATATTACGATTTCGTATAATCCATCTATAAGGGGATGTAGAAAAAAACGTGTGCAATTCTTGTATAATGTTACAAAATTAACTGTTACTTTGGTAGCATCATTTACAACTAAATTTAATGAATGAGAGAGATGTACCAGGTACAGAAAAAGCTCTAGAATTTATTTTCCTTAAATTTACGATTTATGTATCCGTTTGTCATAAAAATTTGTTTCCACTTTTTCCCGAGACTACAAATATTCGAGTACAAAGTAACAGGTTTCGACTTATTTCTACTTAAGAAGTAGTTAATTAAGTGATTAGGGAATTGGGGACATAAACAAAACCATGATGAAAGAGCTGAAATTTTACTTAAACAAAAGTTTAACCGAACCAATCTCTAGCCGAATACAGTGGGACTGATTTCTTCGAAATATTAGATGTAATAAAACAGACATTTTTCCAGTTCAACGAGAGTGACCGAAAAGTTGTAAATTTTGGAAATTTCCGTGGACAACACCTGGTCCTAAAACGAATTAGTTAGAAAACAAACGACGGACAATCTATTAAGTTTAACATATTTAGACTTTTACAGCTATGGTGAGAAACGTTTAAAATTTACAAGAACCCTGTCGCGTCTTTTGAGGTATATTAGTGATGCGACAAAAGAGGCATTTGACATTGACCGGTATCGGCACCCTCGGGATTTGGCAGCCCGCGTGCATGTACACACCGCACACCTAGCAGGACCGTCTCTGATTCCACTCGTAGGGAGCTATTTGACTAAGTGGTTAAGATTTAAAGAGTAAAGAATATTTTATGTTATTTTTATGTACGTTTCATTACAAAGCTATATTTAATTATAATTTTCTTTAAAAGTATATTCATACAATTGAAGAATGTTTTGTACCAGGTATGTAAATCCACCACACATTTTATTTCACCAAGTAAGTTTTTATAATTTTATTTTTAATTTTAGCCCTTTTATCGTGGCTAGTGATTTAGAATGTAATTGTGATATTGAAAGTTTATTTCAAAAAGCTGACAAAAGACACTAAAATCGTAACGTCACATTGATTCTTTCGTAAAATTGAAGCAATTTGGAAATCAGAGCGGAATAGAATTTAACATTAGTAAACAATATAAATATAAAATATAAATATAAACAAAAAAACGATATAAATATAAACTAAAAAATAAATATTGAAAATTATAACTAGATAATTACGATTAATATATATATATATATATATATATGCTTTGTTATCAAATAGCTATTTAGCTATTGTTTGTGATTACAGAATCATGTTTAACATATATCAAGTTAAACTAATTACTCTATTATTCTGCTAATTTTNAAGACACGAAAAATCGTCGATTCTTTCGTATTTGAAGCAATTTGGAAATCGAAGCGGAATAGAATTTAACATTAGTAAATAATATAAAATAAATATTGAAAATTATAACGAGATAGTTATGGCTAATAGATATATTATATCTAAATAAATAGATGTTATATGTTTTTATCAAAGCAAGAATTGGCATTTAGAGGGCATATGGAATATATTGGATCTAATAACAGAGGTAATTATATTGAACTTGTTTATTTGTTAAGTACGTCAGATAAATAATCTATTAAAAATACATTTAAAGAAAGAATTAACTGATTGCCCCTGGAAGTTGGCTTCTTATAGAAACACAGCTTCCCTATCATCAAATGTCACGGTATTAGTATCGTAGCGTAGTGGGGGCGGCCCGCCACGGGCAGCACTTTTTAGGGGGCGGCAAAATTTGACAATAA